ACAAGAATAAATAAAACTGTTACTTTTTTTTATATCAAGGGATAAATTTATATACTGAAATTAAAGTTTTATTAGTATAAATATTTTAGTGAGATAATATATTAATTATTTTACAAGCTAGCCCTAACATACTCATATTTAAGTTCTGGCTAAAAAACAATGCTGGTTAAAAGATATGAAAAAAAACTTATAACCTTATTATTTTTTAGACTTAACGTTGATCAAAAGAGGTAGAAAATAGATACTAACACTATTACTTTAAAGATTTAAACGGACAAGGCTGTTAAAATAACTCATTTAATATCTATGTTTCGTGCATCGCACGGGGTACGTACTAGTATATATATAAAGAACAATCATTTACTAAAAATAGTAGCAAAAATAATTTGGAACATTTAATGCATATCTTATTTAAAAACTTTTAAATATATGCGTTAATTGGTTTCTAAATCAGATATGATATAAAATATTCTTTCCTTGAATAACTTTATTAACATCTACAATAATATTATTGATATCCATTATAATAAATTATAATTTGTTTTTTTTTGTGATTCATGTTGATAATATTTAGTCAACATAAACATGAAAACGAATTTTAAGTCTTAACCATATTATTATTTTTTTTTTTCAAAAATGTTGACTTTCATCCTAAAATACTTATAAACAATCGTAATATGTTAAGTAATTTTCTCCTTCTAACTAATTAGGCGAAATCAAGTAATATTTTTTGATAAAATTTTTAACCTTTATTTTATTATATAAACTCGAACAATTTTTTTGAATAAAAATAATTTACCATTAAAGAGATAATGATCATATCATTAAATAATTTACTAAGGTCTAGATAACAAAAGTAAAATATATTAACTATTCTTTACAATTTCAACGTGTGATTTATTTGTATATTTTTCTTAACCATGATAATTTTATTATTTTTATTTGTTTCCATTATGAATTTATTGTAAAATATATATTTATATTACATAGTATGTCGAATAAACTAATAAAGTCTTAAGATGCAAATTAGAAAAAATCTCTTGATTATGTAACTGTTTATTATTTGGCCTTTTTCTAAATCATTTTTTAATAATTATGAGAAAATTAAGTTCTAAACACCATGTTTGTGTATTTTGTAAACATTTATACTCCAAAATTTATTTTAATAAATTTCATTACATAAACTATGAAGACTACTTTTATGACCTTTATAAATAATAGTAATGACATTATATGACAACAAATATTATAATAAAATAATAATTGAGTATTATATGGTGAACAAGAATAAGTATAACTTTTTTTTTCTTATATCGATAAATAAATATATATTGTAAAATCAAATTTGTTAGTATAACGTGTTAGCAGAATAATATATTAATTAACATGTCAACGTTATAGCTAAAATAAACATCATTGATTGAAAGAAGTAGAAAATTGATGATTCAACCCTATTATTTTTTTACTAAATCTAAAAGCCTCTAGGAATGACTCATTTAATATATGTGTCTCGTGCATCACACGTGAAATGCACTAGTATTCATTAATACGGAGGAAAATAAATAAATTGAATGGAACTGGAAATCAAACTTAGCCTGGTGAAATTAAATCTAAAAATTCAAATTTCCAATCATATATCTTTTTCAAAGAAAATTTATAATGTAAAAATGGTAGGAAATTTTTAAGTACAAATGAAACACCATGTTGCACGAAAATATATAACTGAATTGCGAACAATAATATCAATTATTATGAGTTCTCAATTTAGGAAGTGGTCATGTCTCACTCGATGTCAATGTTAGCTCCTTCTTTTTTGGATCGCTCTTCATCTTATACAGATGGAGGAAGTTTGAAAATAGAATAACATATGGGGTAAGACTAAATCCTCAGTGAGTGGGTGACAGTGTAAGACTAAATTCTCAGTGAGTGGGTGACAGTGTAGACGTTGTAACTTGAGTTTGATAAAATCATTGACATGTGGGGGAGGGAGATGGGGCAGATGATGTAGCACCAACAATAGTTGGCTGAATCGGCTGGGCGCTCTTGTTAGGCCGGTCCAAGGGAGCTTAAACCCTATTTATGCGATTTAAAAATATATTGCATTAGTTAAATATCTATAAAAATTCATGAATATTCCCAAAAGATATCCAAGTTTGAGTATATCTACTCAGTTATTTGGAGGACCAGACTCCTTGGTTATTAAGGAAACACATTGTCTTAGAGAGTAAGTCATTAAGTGCCTTACAAATATGGGATCCCTGCTCAATTTCTCATCATAAGCTCTCAATAAGTCTCTCTTAATTATAGCACGTTTGATATATAAGTCTCTGACTTGAGTGTCGGACTGTCTACTCTAGGGACCCAACCCCGACGCTTTTGCAGATTGATTCACAGGACGAGGTGGTTTCAACCAGCAATCCTGGTGAGTCGAGGAATTTTGAGGCGTCCAAGTTTATGAAACTTTTGCAATTCAAATACTCACCCAACTCCACATTATTTGGCCTCACCCAAGATTAAACAAGCATGATTAATTTTATCTTTTTAGCGAAATTGATTTTCTATTTTTCTCTTCAATATATTAATTATAACTTCTCGCTTTATAAATATTATCATGTGGGAATTCTAGATTTGGAGCCCATGGCACAAAATTCCTTAACGGGCATGGATGCCAATTTTGCCCTTCAGATGGAATGTGCTTATCTTGTGAGCCAATAAAAAATAATTAGAACGGGACAATAGTTCAAACTTCAAGCAACACGATATATATAACTATAGATTTTATTTTTGCCCATTTTTTATTGTTTTCCACTTAACAAAATCCGAACATTACTTCTGGCTTATAAAATTTAAGATCCACGAGAAGCAAAAATTTGTAAATTTATTATTCTCCATAATTTTTCAAGGGCACTTCGGTCCTCCTTTCTTGGTCTTCCAGTTTAAGTAGCAAGGGCAACATTCTTTATTTCCATAAGTTCCGGGAGGTACGCACAAGCATACATTGCAACATTTGTTGCAGTAGAACAAACATGGCATTTTATGTGATGTTGCGGAGCATCGACGCTCACACTCACTCCCACAACCTATACAACAAGGAAAGAAATAAATTGATTGTTCATAGTGCAATGTTTTAAGACCCTGATTGAAGGTTTTCAGACCACCCATTCACATGCTTGGATATCAAATCAATAAAAAAATTTAATAATAACTATATAACATAAAAATGATAATATATATATACGAACAAATGAACTTTAAACTTAGAGAAATAAATGATTGAATATATTAATTTTCTACAATATATTTAATCTTTGACTTAAAATAAAATAAATAAAATTTGTAGAAATGGACTCACGTTCTTTAGGAACTGGACAAGTGACAGTCTGGGTTGCTGTTGTATCAAGTAGCCCAAGGGAAATTGGGCTCAATGTATTGTCACCAGCCTGTTTACACATCACAAATATATAACAAAAATTGAATAGTTAAAATGGCTTATCATTAATATTTATTTTTCACTTACAAGTGAAACTCCGATCATTGATAAGAAAACACATGATATAATCAGAACAAAATGGATGTTCGAAGTGAAAAACATTGCTAATGTCTTAATTATTGTATTTTATTTTTTTGTATATGTTATATTTCATATTATTTGCTCCCCTTCTTCTTCCTTATATAGTGGAGTTTGGGTCTTGAATCTTGTCATGCAAATTACATTACCACCTCAAAATACTACAAAAATCTCATGTACTTTTAGAAATTTGAAAATCTTATAATATGTTTTACTTAATATAAGATATACAATTCCTAACTCAAAATTTATTAAAAGTTTTATAATTCTTGACATTAACTTTGGTCCTCTTTATTGTAATTAGAGTATTTAGTTGACTTTAAGACTTTTCGATGTTTGCTATTTAAATAATTTTATTAGTGTAATCACATATTTTAACTTTGTATTATTACGAAAGTATACTTTTGATAAATTTTCATCAACAAAATAATCATGCAATGTGCTATAACGTTTAACTAAAATAATTTTCTCAACCAAAAGCCTTATTTTTATAAAATTTAAAGATGTTGAACCGGAATTATAAGTACCTGAAATGTCAGACTTATTATATTCGAGTAATGCTATGTGTACATAATAAATGTACATAGAATCTATTAATATATAATAAGGATTAACATAATTCATTTTTAGAAATATTTTCCCGCCAATTTCATTAATTATTGCCTAAAAATAGTAAATTAACAAAATCTCTATTTATT